TCCGACATCGCTGGGTCTTCGCTTCGGTTCACTAGTGGAGTCAAAGTTTCCTACTATTATCGATTCGAATTAATTCGAGATGAAATCACGAAGAATATCCGGTTTGATTCTCTGTTAGCACTTTGCCGACGATTCGAACTTCCTTACCCGAGAAGTCTAGGTACCTGAGAACGGAACCGGAAAAATATTTTCTCCTTGTTGGCCTCCGATATCGCCGCGGCTGTCCCGACGAGGACAAAATATCCTCAGTTGCACACTTGAGCGGTCGTCCCGAGTTGTGCTTAAGAGCGTTCCTCCTCGGGAGTGCTGGGATGCTCGGAGCGAAGGAAAGCGGGAAGAAGGAAACGGGGCTGTGCCGGGCACGGGATACTGAGGCTACGCGGAGAAAGAAGGGAGGGATGGAGTGAGCACCATCAAGCCACCCGTCGAGCTCGAGTCTAATGGCGCATAATTTGATTGTAACCCCTCGCGGAGAACGCTCTTGGGCGCAAGATGCACTGAGCTGAGCGCTGTCTTTCTCCTCTTCGTCGCTCATGTTCACTTGCTTCGCCATTTTCTCGACGACGGCGGAAACTCTTCAAACATCTTATGTGGACTCGTCTTTGGTATTTGAGCAGAAACGATTTTCGCTAAGTGCTCAGTGTTTCGAGTCCGACACTTGTTCGCGCGGACGAGGCGCATCTCGAAGTGCAGGGAACACTCTACATAATAAGATTTTTGATGGCCAGCGCTCTCCACCGTCTCCGACTTTACAACTTTATACCTGCATTGCGTAGCCTCGCACGCACTTCTCGCGTCGCGTCGTCCCAAGCAATAAGCTATAAGTCATTGGTCCGGCGGCCATGCCGATCCCGAACAACGCTGGCCGGCTTGCGGGTAATTGAGGTTTGTTTGCTCATATTCGTCATTGACTCGCCGCGCTAGGAACAAGGTTCTCCTCGGTTCCTTTCTCGGGAGTGACTCTCGATGTCTCGTAATCCCGATCTACTAAAATCCGATGCCATGTGTACCCCATGCTGTCCGAAGGCGTTATCTCGACGAACAGACAATGCAAGCAGATTGAGCGCAATCACTTGCAGTCACACCCTCGCAGTCGCTCCAGTCATGTGTGCGTTTGTTCTTTGTATGAGAGTGTTCTGATGTGTGCTCACGGAGCACTCGTGTGTTCATCGGGGGCGATCGATTGCTGGCCTTCCCCAGTGGGGGAAACTCGGCCAGAAAAGCGCTTTTCAAACTCTTCCTGCCACCCTGGGGCTTGATTGAGACTTCGTTGAGATCCTGGAAGAATCGTTCAGGAAAATTCGAATGATTTTATGTTAATTGTGGACAATTGTTTCCTCCTGGCTCCATATTTGCTCTTTCTCTGAACGGAGTTTCGTTGATCGCCGTCGAAGTAAGACCAACTGTGCATCCCTTACTCGCCCAATTTGGCACCAGGAGCAGGCTGGGCACTCTCCTCAAGCCAGCGAGCTACTGCGGATCCGTCGCCGCTCCCTCCGAGGGAGCAGGCCAGTCAGTCCGTCACTCACGCAGTCAGAGCGTAGAGAGGGGCGCAGAGGTGGATCGCTGTAACGATGTTACCCTAATTCAATAATAGCCCACCAGGCTGGATCTGAGATCTGTGAATCTATGTATGTATGCCCCTCTGAGTTATTCCATCGGCGCTGTTGGGGTCGCCCTATCGAGGGCTACGCCTTTGTCCATTCGCTCCCTCGCTCGCTCATCGTATAGCTGTATCGTTTGCCCCTAGACTGCGTCGACAATGACGGAATGGCGGCTACTCCCGGAATCTGGATTGTCTCAAACTCGCAAGCCTCGTATGCGCCCCTGCTGTTCCCTGTCGGCCGCATGCTCGCTAATTCGCTCCCTTGGCTTTTCTTTCTTGTTTCGAATCTGATGCGCCGTTTGGGGAGCGAGAACATCCGCCGCTTCCGCCTTGCTCTCGATGACTTCCTTATGATTCGACCGAATGGTGGAAACTGCGATCGCAAAAGTCGCTAGAGCGAGCGGGCCGTGATCAATTGGATGTGAGCTTGATGTTATTTGAATATGATCCTTGACGGAAGAAATCCGGATGTTGTTCTCAAGTAAAGTGTCCAGCGACCCCGCGTGCTGTAATCCCTTTCCCTCGAGACGAAATAGATGCAAATAAAACAAACATTGCTACTTCTGGAATCACAATTGCCTTACATCGGAATCTTCAGAATAGATCACACAGGACGTTTCTGCTTCCACGCGGTCGGCCACATCAAAGCTGAGATACAGAAACCAGACATTCTGATTCGAGTCACACGCGGAATATTTCAGTGAGCACAGAAAGATGGACAAAAATGAAGCAAACAAACAACTTTTCCAAGTCACACGAGGTTTGGGTCGGGGCTTGGCTCCTCTCGGATCCGGATTTTCTTCGGATTCTGATTTCGGATTTTTTCCGGATTCCGGATTCGGCAGAATACTCACAATCGGTCATTTTCTCTGAAATCCTTCTGAAACACACTCCACGAGGATAAAAGCCGTGGATAGGACTTGTTGTCGATCACCGGAACGTACCGCGCGCGATCCTATGAGACTTTTCCGTTACATGAGCGCTTTCCGAGGATCATTCCGAGTTTCGGGGCGAGTTTGTTCCAACGTCGAATTCTACGAAGGGAATCTCCCTACTTATTCTCAGTACATTGTCCGATTGATTCCCAAATTCTGAAGCTTCTTTCCATTCACCCATCCCTTCGTCGACTGAGAGGCTCCCGCCCGAAGAATCCCACGTTTAGGTAACGCATATCGCCAACTAGCCGTCATCAAGCGCGCAGACTCGATTCATGCTTGACCAGCCAGAAAGTGTGATAGCTCGCAACGCACTGAGATCAATACTTCATCGAGACTCTCGATCCCGATGGAATTAGGCGAAGTATGGGCTTTTGAATTGTTTACCCCATCCGAGTGACGCCTAGTCAGTGGGAGGATACTATTGGAGGTGTTTCGCGGTTGAGGATTTTCGAAATGAGCGATAAACTCGAGCTCGCATCAACTTGTTGGGGAAACTTTGAGAGGATTTGATTAGGGAAATCTAATTAGTGAATTGAAAAAGTGAGGGCGTTTCGGTATGCAATGTCGGGCCAGAATAGCGGAGCATCATTTCGAACAGAGGGTTATCGGAGTATAGCGCGTGAGAACAGCGCAGACTCGCAGCAGCTGGTGACCGAGACCATACTCGAAGGCGCACGAGAGATACCACGACCAGCTCCACCAGTCAACGCTCGCCAGCGTTCGGACTGCATGCTGATGGTGCCCGTGAGGTGAATCATTTGGGAAAAGATGCACCTCCAACTGGAGCACTGGCTTCCTCTTCACGAATTCGGGATACACATTGTGTACAATGCTTGTTCCGATACCTGAGAGCATCTCCATTCCATCGATAATCGCCATTTGATTGTTTCGTTGCCTCTTTCACTCCCGATGTTCGAAGACGAGATTCCAGGGCTGCTGGACGGTTCAACCACGACGTACGAGAAACTCACCTCCCGGAGTACGGGCTCAATTTTGAAATGAGATCATTCAAGGAAGCCCTCCGATTGACTCCTAACATCGACGAATGTCTGACGCAAGCCGGGCTACGTCGGACTCAAGATACCTAAATCCCATGATTGATTCACGGTTTTCTGCCTTCGAGTCTGCATCACGCATTTGAAGCACGATTTTATTCGGATTCTGGTTATTTTGTTCGAAGTCGACATTTGTTCGCAATGGATAATAATGAATCCTATACCTTCGTGAAGTACTGACTCTCCTTCCTTCATTCTCATCGAATAAACGAATAAAAACTTGGTATTCCTCACAATCAATATCGAAAATTCGTTCCTTAATATCATTCTCTACCTACGATACCCAATCAAGAATTGATTCGTTTCTCCCCCTATGCGTCAAGATTTCACACTCACGCATCGGGAAATTCCGCTCGCTCGTCACCGAACTTATAGCAAATTCATACAGACTTTCGCTCTTCATTCATGAATTCTCAAATCCATATGCCGACGGGAGCATACCTTGGCTAACGCGGAGACAAGATCCCCGCTAGTTGGCGCGAGAATACACCTCAGAAAAGCTCGTGGAAACGGAATTAGAAGCCAGCAATTTTTTTCTGAATATAGTCAGTCTTGAGTCTCTTCGCGAAATGACATCTTCAGCCGGCACGCCTTCCGGAAGAAAGTCACGCGTAGACTTGCGATTTGAACCTATTTTCTGTTATCGACTTTTTTCTGAACAAGCTAAGACAAGTCATTTTTTTCGTATCGTACATTCGACTGTGACGACTTCTGAACTTATCGCTTCTTGTTCCTTTCCCCTCGAAGGATTCGGCGCTACTGCGAATGTCGTCTCATTCTCGTCTCGTCTCGAACGATAATTCAGTCATTCTCTCTAGAATACGTATGACGCGCCGATCGCGATTGAGCAATACAGCTTCACCTGCTTCGTTTTGTTGGGAGATTCGCGTTCAGAGTTCCAGAATAGCTCCTCTCGCCAGCATGGTAATAGGATTAGCTGTCACAAATACCGCTTCACAGTGATTGATCAATTCTGAACGTCTTATATTATTCTAGCGTATTCAATGTGCTTCAATAATAATTATAGTTACGAGGATGATGAAAATTGATGATTCGGAGGAGAATCGATCGTAATTCGTAATAGTCGTCAGAATACGCTAATAACTCCCTTGACAGAAAGAGAAATGAAAGCGCCATCATCCCGATAATAAATATCTCTGGATAAATGAATTCTAGTCTTCGAAGATTCCACAGCGGTGTGCAGAACATCACAGTTGAATGTTTTCAGTCGCCACAATCCAATTCGAATACACATCATTACATCGAACGAGTTCCCCTATACTTTTTGGGTAAAAATGTTTATCTAATGACAGCAACTGTGTGTTTTGTGTGTTTGTTCATGAATTCATAATGGGGAGGAATAGAGAGACGGTCCCGTAGAGAAAAAAATACCTCTGACACACGTTCTCTCGGTGGGTTTGAAGCGTCTCCTCGGCGAGCTGAGGCTGGCCACGCCCTTTCAGGAGCTTCCTCCCTCCGGTCTCCGTCGAGAAGTCGTTCGATAGCCACATTTCGGATATCCCTCTGCGTATTTTGTTCCCTTGTCGTGGTCGGAGACTTCAATGAGCTTCAATGTGAGGAGGTCCTTTCACAGTTCTTCCAAAGATCGTGGATTCGTGAGGAGTTCCCGCGTGAGCCGCCACGTTTGCTTGGCGGCGCTCTCGAGAGCGGACGCGGATTTCCCCTTGAACAGATCCAAGTGCGGCAGAAAATAGTGAGGACACCGTCGACATTGAAGACACGAGATGAGCTGCAGGAATATACCGTTGATTCGGTCCCCTAAACAGGTTTCCTCCCAATCCTGATCTCTAGGATGCTTCTCGCACTCGTAAAGCAGCAGGGTTTTGAGGTGGTAGGACGTCACAGGGTTGCCGGGTAGGTCGAGATGTCTATCCCTAAGCGTTTTGAGCAGGCTTAGACATCTCCGTCGGCAGCCACCCGAATTCAGAAGGCGGTTCTCGGCGTCGAGAAACGACAAAACCCAAGCGTCGCCCTCCATCGATGACTGTTTGCCTTGTAGCGTCACGCACTCTTTCGACAGCAGGTCGAAACCCTCGGCTTTGACTTCGGTCACGATTGCCGGTGAAGGCCACGGAATCTGCGGCAACGGCCAATGAGTCGCGGATCTTGGCCACAGACCTGCGCATCTGAAAGCCGGTGTAATCTGGACGACATAACGCTCCCTGATCCTCAACTTGACTTCAGTAGTGTCCGAGATCATTTTGACGCAGTCTCGATACGCCGACTTGTCACACGCCTGTGCGACAAGTGTTTGGAAGCGAGATCGAATCTTTCGCGCTGATAGGTAACCGGACGCGGTGATGAACTCTACCCACAGCGACATAGATCTTTTTCTACCGTCGGACAATTTGAGGACGGCGCACCCAGGAAGCGAACCGTCGTCCACGAAGTTGAATACCCCCATCTGATTTAAGTAGAGGATCACTTCAAACTCCGTGGGTGAGATGACATCAATGCCTTCATAGCGGCCGTGGCCCGTCTCGGAGAGCGAACTGACGAATCGAGGCTCCTGGACCTCGACTTCCTTCAGGACGTCCTGTACAATGCGGCAGACTTCGCGAAGGGTTTTGGCGATGCCGATCTTTCTCGCCTGGACCCTGTCTCCGTAGAATTTGTTCAGCTGATACAGCAGACGCGATTGCGCCCCTGTCATGTCTTGTGGCACTAACATTTGCAAACTTTTCAACGCGAAACTAACACACCAACAACAATTCCACTCTCCTCGCCGGGAGACCCGTTAGTCCCTCACGTGATGGTCGAGTTATCCCGTCGATCGGAGCATCCCTCCTGAGATTCTCCCGAAGTATCGCACTCGCACGCGGATCGGCGCCACTCCTTTTCCCGGAGCTCGCGCCGGACAGCACTCGGTGATCCTTTCCTCGGTGAGAGTGGTCACCATTCACGGTTCAGCGGAACTATGCAGCACCGTTTTCTTCCACAGCGAGGAAGGGGTTTTTTCCTCCTTTTTTTTCCACGCTCGATCCCGCTATGGGGTTTCGCAATCGGGATCCTTCCTTGCTTCCTCGAGGCGGGAGGCCCTTTCAGATATCGATCCCCCGAAAACTCGTCCACCATTTACGTGTTTCCGCCATTTTGTTGGTCGAGCGCGCAGAGAGAATCCCCCATGATGCTTATCCGTGCACTTGTCCTAAACACCATTGGAATCGCGATTTGGTCGCTTCGCTTTCGAGCTTCCTCCTCGAGCATGGAATCAGTAGATCCGAAGGCCCCATGGACCGGCTTGGTGACCACATATTCTCCTGTGAACCATGGAATTATTTCTGGGCTCGCGGTCGTACGGGATGTTTTCAGTCCACAAGGGGAATCACTGCACTCGCAATCGGGAACGGTATTCGCCGCAGACGGATCGCGGTGGCTCCTGCACTCGCCTCTCTGGGCGGACGATCCAATCCGATCACTTCCGGAGAAGATCTCCTCGAGCGCCTCGAATTTCCAGAACAGCTCGCACACAACGAGCCCCGTACAAAGCCTCTTGCAGGGACCTCCCTGGTCTCCGGAATCCTCAGGTTCCGCTCACCGGAATCCGACGCGGCACTTATTCCTTGTCGGCAGCCGCTAGACCGAGTCAAGCTATTGCACAGTGCTTGAAGTCAGCTCTTGACCGATCACCAGTCGCAACTGAGGATCCGCTTTTCAACGAAGTGCTTAGTCGCCATCGCGGATAATACGATGACGGCAGCGGAGGAAGCATCCACGGCACAGCGAATCCTCACTCACTCAGCACCGTCAGCAGCTGCACTGGCAGCGGCAGAAAGAGGTTTCCGTGACGGGCCAGTGCTGGTCCTAGTCGTCGTCGTCGTTGATTGTCTTGAACATGTCGCTATTGAGCAAAGAGCTCGCTCGCTCGCTTCCAAGCTCCACCTCGCAGCCACGCCTTGGCGCCGCCTCGGAAGCAAGATGGCGCCCAATAAAAGACCATTCGCGCAGATGAAATGCGTATAGCCGCCACCGGCCGACCGATGTCGGCAGGCTTTGCTTTGGCTGCTGAAATATGCTTATTGCTTCATCGAGATTGTCTTCCTTCCCGTCGAGCGAGCCGACAGACGGAGCAAACACATATTTTAGGATGCATCAGATAAGCGAGCCCCATGCCTGTGCAGAAGGACCAGCAGAAAAAATAGGATCATCTGCGAATTTCCTTGCGAGTACTTCGACTAACGCTGTCGGGAATCCTCGATCGTTTGCTCATCCCATCGTAATTTGATCCAATCGTAATCGAGTTCCGCGAGCCGATTATTTGGAATCGCCGCAATTTCTTCTATCAATTTTGGCTCCTCTGGGTTCCCTTTCTACTTCTCGAGGGGCCCCGAGGGTCCGAGACCAGCGGTATGCCCAAGAAAGGTAAAGTGGAGCCAGGGCCGTCCTGACCATTGCGCAGTCCGTCGATTAAATCGTAACTGAGAGCGTGATTTTCCCCTTAGGAGAATGGATTTCCTTCGGGAAAGCGCCACGGGACACCGGCGAAATTCATTGGGAAATTCCGCGCGATCCTCCTACGACTCTAATGATACGTCAATCAGAGGAAAGTTGTAAATCAGGGAAGGATCGGGAAACGAGGACACCAATGAACGAAACTCCGCCTATTGCTGAGCTATTCGATTTTGTTCTGACTTCCCTCATCTTTCTGCTTTTGAACATCTTCCGAGAGCTCGAAACCGATAATTCCCAACACCATTGCTCAGGGGCAATGGGTCCGCCCCACAAGGGAACGGCGAATTGTTTCTTGTTGTATGTAGCGGCGGAAGCATCCGAACTCCATCCAGACCAAACCTAATACCTACATGAGATGTATTGGCGGTGAACTGGGTGAATAGATGGCGATGTCAAAATTCCCACAAAGAGAAAGAGAGGACGGGTCTCTTCCAGCCAGACAACGATTCGTGTTTTTCCATAGCGATCCGTCTGTCTTCCGCTCTCTACTCCTCGATTTTTTCTCTCCCTCTCTTTTGCACAGACTAAGCTATCTGCCTATCTATCTCGACGAACGACAGCTACTGCAGCTGCTAACAGCACCTCGACTCGGCACGGCCATGCGGCTTACGCACTCTTCTTCTGAGAGAACTCCCGCCGCCGCTGCTGTGCTGTCTGCCTGTGGGCTGACGCCGTAGTGAATGCTGTTCAGCGGGCTGGTTGGGTGGCTTTCGGGTTGGCTTTTGGGATGGCTGACGCTCTCCCTATGCCCGGCTCTCTTTGTCGCTCGCGCCTACTCGCTCAACAGGACTCATCGACTGGACCGGCTCGCGAGCCGGTATGGAAATTCACTTTGAGGAATACGAGGAATTCCATTGAGTGTGAGGCTGTCACAGAAGGGGAGTAAAATCTTCGCCGTCAAGGAGCGATTCCTGGAAGCGAACTCTCCTATCACTTAATCGAGGGAGCAAAGAGTTTCTCGGGACCTACCGATCTCGCAACGATAGAAACTTCCCGTCGTTCGAGGACATTCATTCCTGTAAAATGACTCTGCGCCCCCGTTCACCTACCTCGTCTTGGGTTCAGCATCCGCCGTGGACGACCCAGAGACGAGTGGCGCTCCTTATTGTGGAAGACAGGATCTGAGCATTTCATGAAGTTTGACTTCGTGTCGCTTGCTTCGGGTTGGGCGGGACTGAAAACGGGTTAGAGGCGACTGGTTAGGGGGCGATGAACGTGTATGGCGTCAAGAGGGCAAGAAGGATCGCTGGCTCCTAGACGATCCGCCTCACGTAATGCCGGGGGAGTCATTGCGGTTTGAGAATGAGCTCGTCGTTCCCACCTCCATCGTCCGACAATAGATTGAACAGTGTTTTCAGGAATCCCGAGAGCGAGTCTCGTAAACGAGCGTTCTTTGAGCTGGAAGAACGACGCTGCGCTCCACGAAAGCTATGATATTATTTCCACCAGATTCTCGGGGCCACATTCAGGAAGAGCGAGTCGCACTCCGAGGGAGATACTTTCACTACTCATTCGGTTTATCATATGATCGCCTTCATTTGTGGAGCGGTCGGTTCAGCGAGGGCGGTCCGACTCAAAAATCAGGAAGCGCTTCCGTATACTTACTCGACCATCCGGAGCAGCGAGGCCATATAGCCGGAGAGAGCTCGCGAAATAAGTCCGGGGCTTTCAGTGAAGTCGCTGGGTATGATGTTTTCGCCATCAGGCCTTCTGCTGAGATACAGTGTTTGATAAGGCTGAGGAACTGATGATTCTAGTGCTAGTAGTGGATCCTTCCGTTTTTTGATTATTACTCTCGATGCGAACGATGGCGCTGTCCAAAAATGTACGTGCCATCAAACACCACGATTAGCTTCAAATTGTGTGGTCGCCCTCAGCGAGAGGCTTTCAAGCTGACCCGCTCCGTGAGAGACAGTCAGACGAGCCGTGTAGAGCTCAGACTCTCGTGGTCACGCAGTCGCGACAGCACGTAATCATCTGTCAGTCGGGTATGTGCGTCCAGACTGGGCGGGGGCGAGGAAGGGGGTAGGGAACGCGTTTTGATGAAAGCGACTGGCCTGAATTCTCCCCGAACTCGGAGGTCGGGCGCACGTCCTGGAGGGAGAGGAAAAACACTAGGGAAGAAACAGAGATGGATTTGTTGTCAACTCGCTTTTCGACCGGAACCCATGGATGAACGGCTTTATTCCAACGGACCTTGTTAGCGAGCGGTCTAATCGGCAATCTCGGCGGCTTCAGTGGTCGATTCTCAATCATTGAGCATCGCAACAGTGCTGATGGGAAGAGCAACGAATGGAATGATGACACTCGAATAACTCACGAACTCATTGAATGGCGGTGTTCCCCAAAACGCATACGGCCCAGTTCCCATCGGCAGAAGTCCCAGCCCGTTAAAAGCAGTAGGAAGCACAATTGCCGAGAAAGGGGAAACCCACGCCGGGAGGGCATTGCCGGACGGCAGAGCCCATATTCTACATGAGGAGATGGGCTGCGTGATAGATGTGTTGTATGCGTGCCCTCGGCCATAATATGTATTCGACGAGTCATCAGCGCCTGCCGTACTACCGTGTGTTGTGTAGCTGCTGCTGCTTGTGTCGGACTACCGCTCGTTCAGCTAGCCGGCTCTGCGGGTGTCGAGCGAAGCCCTCGCTAAACCACCACTCAACGTTAAACGATACACTGCCTAGCGGAGGCCTTAAGTGCATCGATTAGTAGGACCTGAACTAAAAATGTAATATTCCATCCTCTCCTCCACTGGCTGTCTCTCTGTGCTATCCTCCTTATCCGAGCCGTATGGGGCTCGAAACTTAGCTGTTCATCGACACCCCGAGCAAGTGCCTTCCTGCAGTTGATGCTCGTCATGACGTCATGAGATGTACTCCATCTTTCAATGGAGAGGACATTGTCCGGCAAGGAAATGATAATCAACGGTAATACGGGTGATCATCGATCCGAGGGGATGATTTCGAGGGCATCTCCCGAGTCCCGAGGGATGATCCGTTCCCATTCCGATTCTCGGACCTCAAATGTCTTCTGGTTCCCCTCGTCTGAGGCTCTTCATTCGTCTGCGATTCCTGAATGAGTTCGCGGGCCCTCAGTTGTAAGACTTCTTCTGATGATTCGCCGATTTCTCTGAGCGAGCCCGGCTGACTTAATGTTTGAAATTGAAACTATTTCGCCCGTGTTTGCCGAAGACACTCCCAGCGGCGACCTGAGCAT